GTCGAGTGGTCCAAGTGGACCGAGTTCGGGGCCTACAAGAAGCTGCCGCCCAAGGAGCTGAAGGAGATCCTCCAGCGACGCCCTGGAATACGACCAGTCGGTACCCGCTGGGTGCTCACGCAGAAGGCCGCCAACCTCATGAAGGCCCGCCTTGTCGTCCAGGGCTGTCAAGAGGACAAGTCCCAGATCCGTACGGACGCGCCGACCGGGTCAAGGGACGCGCTTTACCTCGCGCTTGCTGCCGCCGCCCAGCTCGGCTGGGACCTCACGGCGTACGACGCGATGACGGCCTACCTGCAGTCGGGCAACATTGAGAGGCTGCTACTGCTACGCATGCCAGCCAAGAACCCGCCGCCAGGCACACTGCCCGGCGAGATCGCGATGGCGACTGGCGCCATCTATGGCACCCGAGATGCAGGACGCCAGTGGTGCCTCTACGCCCAGAAGGTGTTCCAGGAGCACGGCCTCATCGAGAGCAAGCTCGAGAAGGGCCTTTACTACTTCTACGACGACAAAGGGCTCGCTGCCATGATCCACTCCCACGTGGACGACTTTCTCATCGCCCAGCGCGGAAGCTCCAGCGAGTGGAAGCGAGTCATTAGCTCCTTGCAGAAAAAGCTGCACCTCAAGAAGGTAGAGGGAATCGTCAAGTACTGCGGCCGGACCATCAACAAGATCAACGAGGAGTTCCGCATTACCCAGGCGACGGCCGCCGCCCAGGTGGATTTCATCGAACTCAACGCTCAACGCGGACGATCACCAGAGGATCGGCTTACCACCTCGGAGGTCTCGGGATATCGCCACACACTCGGTCAACTGCTTTGGCTCGCAGTACAGACGCGAGTGGACATCGCCTGCCCGGTGAGCCTTGCGGCTCGCCGCACCAACACCGCCACCGTGGCCGACGCCAAGACGCTGAACAAGACCGTCGCTTACGTGCACGGGTCCGCCGACTTCGCCATCGTCATCAAGCGCAACATCATCGACCTGCGCACTTGCACCATTATCTGCTTCAGCGACGCGGCCTTCGCCAATGTGGACGGGGTGAAGAGCCAGTGGGGCATGGCGATTGGGCTAACTCACAAGCCACGGGACGTCGTGGCTGGACGATATGATTTGTGCCTGCCCGTGGCCTGGCATTCGGGCACGGTCAAGCGATCCGTGAAGTCGACGCTGGCCGCCGAGGGCTACGCTACTCTGGAGGGCGCCGAGTCGAGCACTTGGTTCGGCCAGCTACTCACGGAGGCCTACAACCCGAAGAAGACGCTCAAGCAGATCGACGACCTCAGCACCAAACGATCCGGGGAGATCTACACCGACAGCAACGGCCTGGTTACGCACATCAAGTCTGACGTGGGTCAATCCACTGACAAGCGGTTTCGCATCGTCGCATCGATGATCACGGAGGCGGTGCACCCCAACAGCCAGCTGAAGCTCTCGTGGATACCTACGTGGAGTATGGTCGCCGACGCGCTCACCAAGATCATGGAGACCGGAGTGCTTCTCGCTTTCTTCGGGGCCAAGAAGCACAACTTTGGCACTAGGCAACCGCGCGCCGCCATGCTTGCCTCAGTGCTGATGACATGTCTTGGACGCGTGAAGGCACAGCCTCCCTCGCAGGAATGGCAAGTGCCGATATCATATTGGGTCTACTATATGACATTCATCGCGATGCTCAGTGGAATCATGATTGGATTTACATTGTTCGCAGCGCTGTGGTTTGTGGTGCGAAGAGAGATATTTGGGTCAGGCGACCCCAATCCCATTCAGATCGGGACCATCAACAACACCAGCAATGGGTCCAAGGCCGACCACACCGGGCACGCGGACACCCCCTTGCCCGGAGTATATCCAGGATGGGATGGACGATACCTTGGACGCCGCAACAACGTACCGCCTACCATTCCCGAAGACGCCGACGGAGATGTCCACATGGAGCCGCCGATGATTGCCGTCGCAGCCCAGAGTTCATCATCAGCAAGCGGATCGGCAGCGCCAGCCGCACCGCCACCATCACCGGACAGCTTCGCGCAGGGAGCGAGTTCTGCGCCATCATCACCGATGACGGTTCACAGTTCTTCGTCAGCCAGTGTGGTTTCGTGGAACGGATCAACGCCAACGGTTACGCCATCGGAGATGAACGCATGTGTTATCGCCGAGCACAACATACGCGTGGGACACAACCCACATAGTGTCTACGTGACCTGCAGGACGTGCCGGAAGCATGCGTCATGGCTTCGCAGGAATCACATGACCCATGAGCCAGACTTTTCGAGGATGCACAGGATGCACAATAGTCGGCGCTGGGATTTGCAAAATAGATGGAGGCAGCTTCAAGGGTTGCCCGGCAAAGCGAAAGCTCAGAAGAAGACTTCGTGATGCAAGCCGCCGCTCTGTGCCGCCGCCCTACACCTGGCGCCACATCGTGTGGCAGACTATGTTAGTCCGCATCGTTTTGTCAGCTCGTTTTCTTTACACCTGGCGCCACATCGTGTGGCAGACTACGTTAGTCCGCATTGTCTTACCAGCGCGTTTTCTTTACACCTGGTGCCACATCGTGTGGCAGACTACGCTAGTCCGCATTGTTTTGATTGTGGAGCTGCCGCGCTCGGCACCCACAGCCCGTTCGAAGCTTCATTCAGTGTGCGCAGTTTTTTCCCAATGTGGTGACGACCACACTATTAAGACCTTATCTTGATAAGATAGCGCTCTTTGAGTCTTGTCGCATAGCGATCGGACTCGCGCTGCAGCTTGCTTTGAGAATATATGTGTTTCTGGCCGGTGCGTGTAGCAGCACCCGTTAATTGCTCAGAGGCAGCCGGATAGCATGCCGACAAGGCCGTTTGCCTGTGTTTGTTTTGGTGGAGATGCTGTGCCCAGCATCCATAGCAGGGTGTGTGTTGGCGCTCGCTCGCTCAGCGAAGCGCCCTGACTAATGAAGTGAGCTGCGATCGGTGATCGTCGCTCGACGGCGCCGCGAGCGCCGATCAGGAGGAGTGTGATTCCCGCTCACTCCCCGAGCCTTTCCTGCTCCTTCCCTGCTCTCCCGCTCTATCTCTCATGCCCGCCTTGCCGCTGCCATTTTTATTCAAACTAGGGCCCTTGGCCTTAGAGCTACGCAGATAGATCGAGCAGCGCTCTCGTTCGCCCAAAGATCGTCGCGCCGCGCGCGCCATCCATATCACAGGCTGGTCGTACTTGGATGGCTAGCTGGTCGGCTGTGCGAGTAGGATCGGACGACAGGGGAAAGGAGGTGGCGGAGGGGAACGACCCAGATATTCGACCGCCAGATTTTCGCCACTCGGGATGCCGTTGTTTGATTCCCCGTGGCCCTGGGGCCGCCAAAAGCTACAGCTTAGGATGAAGAAGCGGACCCGGGGAATCTGGATTCGAGATGGCTGGAGCCATGTGCCAGCTTCGAAGCGTAAGTCGGGCCTGTCCCTCTACAGGGGGAATATTCAAAAATAGCAAAAACATAGGCTGGGGACGGTTTTTCTAGTATGTTTGACTAGTTGGGGATATTTGTTTGACTATTTTTACGTTTCGTCCAAAATTCTTCTGTAGGGGGACAGGCCCGACTCAATCCTATAAAGGGTCGGAGTAGGTGGGGTCGGAGGATCGCGCCGTATCGCCGATGCATCAGCGATCCGGCTCGATGGGGAGCCCGACTTTCCTCGCGCCGACGTCGCCGATGCGTCGCCGACGTCGACGATGCGTCGCCGATGCATCGCCGATGCGGCGCGATTCTCCGACCCCATCTATTTCGAAGCCTAGACGACGTTGCTCTCCATCCTCGGCCGCAGCGCTCCCGACCCCTTCGGCAGATCGCGGGTGCCGCGTCTCGGCGGTCGGCTCTTGCTGGGCCGCCGTGGACCGTGTTGTTTGTGTGCGTGTGTTGTGAATTGTGTGTTGTGTGTTGTGCGTTGTGTGTTGTGTGTGTTGTGCGTGTGTGCGTGTGTGCGTGTGTGCGTGTGTGCGCGTGTGTGTGTGTGTGTGCGTGTGTGTGTGTGTGTGTGTGTGTGTGTGCGTGCGTGCGTGCGTGCGTGCGTGCGTGCGTGCGTGCGTGCGTGCGTGTGTGCGTGTGTGCGTGTGTGCGTGTGTGCGTGTGTGCGTGTGTGCGTGTGTGCGTGTGTGCGTGTGTGCTTGTGCGTGTCAGTGTGTCTGTGTGTCTGTGTGCGTGAGTGCGTGCTTGCGTGCGTGCGTGCGTGCGTGCGTGCGTGCGTGTGTGCGCGCGTGTGTGTGTGTGTCCCTTGGCACCTCTACTTCCAGGGGCCCAGGGACCCAGAAGCAGCAGCCGTCGGAGCGTGTCCTGACAAGGATCTCGAGGCCAACTCGGTCGTTGCAGCGATAGCCACCCAGGAGGCCGATGATAGCACCAAGTCGTCAACAGCTCCGCCTCTCAAAGCATGTATGGGCTCGGACCTGCCTCGTCGCGATCTTGTCAACCCGCGGGCTCCAGAGCTCGACCCCCTTCCCTCGGACCGGTCTTTTGCGTTCTCTTTTGTGTTGGGTCCCAGACGCGCCATCAGGCCGACATTGGGGGACAGCGCAATCGAGCTGCCCGGGCGCCCGGCGACTCCGCGACTCCGGCCTGAGAGAGAGGTGCCCCCCCCCTACTCCGCCCGCCTCGTCCCTCGACGCCCCGTCCCTCCCCCCCTCCCCCCGTCCATCTCCCCATCCACCTCTCATTCCCTCGCTCCCTTCGCCTCCCGCCTCGCCCTTCCCTCCCGCCTCCTCCCTCCCCCCCTCCCCCCCCTCCCTCCCCCCCCTCCCTCCCCCCCTCCCTCCCCCCCCCTCCCTCTCTCCCTCCGCCCCGCCCTCCCCCCTTCCCCCCATCCACCCCATCCTCCCCTCCGTCCGCCTCCCGCCTGCCCCCGCCGCCCCCTCCTCGCCTCCTCCTGCCCTGCCCCGCAGCCGCCGGGCGGGGCCCCCAACGCCCGCGGAGGGCGAGCGTCCCCCCCCCCGGGCGGCCGGCCGTCGCCGCGCCGAGCGCGGGGCCCATGGCGCAGGGGGGGGTGGCCGCGGCGGAGCCCCGCATGCCCCCGTCGGCGGTCCCGCCCCCGTCGGCCGATCTGGGCGGGGGGGGTGGCCATTCTAGGCCTCCCTGTATGGGGTCGGAGCAGGTGGGGTCGGAGGATCGCGCCGCATCGCCGATGCATCGGCGACGCGGCTCGATGCGGAGCCCGATTTTCCTCACGCCGACGCCGACGTCGCCGATGCGTCGCCGACGTCGACGATGCATCGCCGATGCGGCGCGATTCTCCGACCCCATCTGCTCGGACCCCATCTAGGAGGCTTCTAGCCATGGTCTCAGGTCGGACATGTCCCCCTACAGGTGGACTTTTCAGGATTGAAACTAGTCAACAGATGAACAGAGCTAGTCAAAAGAGCATGAAACGTCGTTACCATATTACGTGATACTGTTCTTGAGTATTCCTCCTCATGCCCGACTTAACCGAGGTCGGGGGTAGCGTCAGGGAGGGGATAGGCTCAGGGGCAGCATCACATATGGGGGAACGTTAGGGGAGGCACGCTAGGGGCAGTTTGTAGTGGGGCAACGTTAGGAAGAAGCAACGGCATAAACATAAACTTTCGGCGCCCCGCGCGGATTTCTTGCATCCGCGCTGGGCCCCCCCCGCGGCGCCAAAAGTTTATTCCCAGCCCTCCTTTGTTGGGTTATCTTTGTGACTGGAGCACTGAAGGAAGGAGCATCGTTTGGTCGTCCCAGTGTTGCTGCCACCAGCAACTGCGAGCCTCTGTCTGGACTCACTAGTGTTGGGTGCCGCGGTGCCGCCATTGCTCGGTCGCTGCCACCAGCCCGCGCCAGTTTCGGACGAACCCCACCAGTCCTGGGGTGCAGTTGGGCTTACTGCATGGGCTGGATCAATATCGCGGCCAGGACGGATCGTAGAAAAAACGACAGGCAGATCGATTCAATTGGCCATGTAGGTTCGCTCTTGCTAAGCGCCAAATCAACACAGACAACGACACCGTTCGCGGCTTTACTGATTCCCTTCAGGGCCATTTTCCTCTTTACGTTTGTTCTGTTTGTTTGCCTTCGGGCACCGCTACAAATAGGAAACCCAGCGCCTCAATGGCACCCCTCGACGAGACAAGATATGTAGTTTCAAGGACACGGGCGAATCCGAATGCAACTGCGCGTCTTGGATCGGCAGTGTGCTGAGGTCTTTAGACCCCCGTCTCTGAAGAGGGAGCAGTCTGTCGGAGGGATACCGATCTACACTGGCGACGATATCATAATCAAGCAGCAGACTAAGAGCCCAAACAGGAGCCATTGGTTCGGACCCGCCGAGTTCCAGATTCAAGGCATCACGTGGACGCTGGATGAGTTTGCAGGCGGTGGGGCGGACGGTCAGGCGTATCTGACGACGCACAAGTCAAGCGGAGACAGATTCGTCGCAAAGTTCTGCCGGAAGAAGGATTCGACGGAGGTGAAGTTTGTAATGGACATGCCCCACGAGTTAGTCGTACACGAGAATTTCGTCAGGCGAGTGTTGGCGGGAAAAGTGGCCAGTGAGGGGCACCATCGTCGACGATAGTATTGTATTGACATGCTTTGTGCTACAGGTTTGGTGCGAAAGCGTATGTATGCAGTGAAAGGTAACGTGTCCAATTATATGCGCCTGATTTTGCAAGGTGGGCGGCCGTGCCAGGAGCATCTACGTAAGTCCTGTGATGACAGTTGTTAAGCACGGCACGATTTGTTGACAACCACAGGTACGAAATGATTGTCGTCGGCGTCCGCGAACACTTCGAGCCAGCCCATGACAGCTTGGCAAGACTTAGGGTTTCGCACAGACCGTCCTCAGAGATCGCCCTGGCTGGAGCAGAACCCGGGGTGCGCGGAGCGCCCCCAGGAGGCACCGCCGCAGGCGGTGCGGGGGTGCATTGGAACGAGCAGACTGGCTCTGGGAGTCTGTTGAGGCCATCTTGGGCTACTCCCGAGGGCTGCCGGTGCGCGACCACAAGCCTTGCCATGACATCCTGTTTATGGAGCACATCCCGAACGGCGAGCTGTTCGACCTCCTGGCCTCGGAGGAGCCGTCGGTGAAGGGCAAGCCCGTGAGCGCGGGCACGTCCAGGCGGTTCCTGCGAGACGTCATCAGCGGCATGGCGGAGTGCTACCGCTCGGGGGCGCCCACCTCCTCCCCTGTCCTCCACTCCCCGCTCGTCGCGGGCGGGGAGCACCGTCCACACACCCATGGCCTCGCGGTGTTGGCTCCCTGGCCGCGGCCCCGCAGAGTGCGGCACAGGGCGGCGCCGCGCGGATGCAGCGTGCGGAGCTTTTGTCCGTGGGGTTAGGTCGCGTCTCGGCATCAAGACCGCGACGGCGTGGGTATGGGCATGTTCGTCGCCCGTTGCTTCCTCCACCTCGCCCCTCCTCCTCCATTTTCCTCACTCCACCATGATCATCCTCTTTTCCCTCTCCCTCATCCGATAACGTAGCGCCCCGCAATTGCTGATAAGAGTGAGGGGTCGGCGGGGTAGTCGGCAGTCTGCGCAAGGCTCTGGAGAAGCCCGCCGCAGGCGCCGAGATTTTGTCAGAGCAGTGTGGGTGGGTCGCGGGCGGGTCTCGGGCGAGGACGGCGACAACAACAAGATTCAGCTAAAGACTGGTCGCTCTTATCTGGTCACGTGCCACTCAACACTTATATCCCTAACCTTAGATACCCACCCCCTTCGTCTTCGATCGTACCCCCTTCTCAGGGGGTAGATCTTCCCTACCTGCCGCATGTAGTTGGCGCAGTCCCTAAAACAGGGGAAGGAGGGGAGGATGGAAGCGACAAGGGGGAGGGAGAAGGATGGAGCACGAGAGAAATTTGCAGGAGGAGGGTTAAAGACAGGAGCGCAAGCGGCAGAACCAGCCTGGCGTGTCGAGCGGGCGAACCCTAACGGGCACGTCGGGCGGGCGGGCCCAGACGGCCAGGTCGAGCGGGTGGGTCGCTAAAGCGTCATCCAATCATGAAAGAAGTTTCGAGCGATAACGCGATTCCCAAGTATATCTTCAGGAAATCCAAGGCGAGATCGTGCTTTGTGAGTCTTGGGTGCACGGCGTCGCAAGACATCTGTAAGGAAGTACCACGCGAGAGCGCGATTCGCCAAGAAGCACCCTGCTTGCCTCCAGGGTGCCCTGGGTTTCTTGGGTGCCGATGGTTTTGCGAGGGAAGACGCGACGCTCCCGCACAATAAATCAATGGACGTCCTGGGGTCTCAGGGTTGAGTTTCTTGTGGCAGGTTTCCTGTGGACTAGCCTCCACGGTAGACCGAGGAGGGGAGGGAGGCCCGGTGTCCCACGTTCGGTGGCGTTCGGGGTCTGTGCCTCTCCTCGGCCCCCGCCAAGCATGTTCCCGGAAGCTCCTCCAGGAGCGTGATCCGGGAGCCTTGATACGGGGGTCAATGCAAACGAGGGTCCGCCAGAGCGCCCTATCTTGCAGGATCCTGCAGGGCCAGGGTCGCATTGACCGGGCTTGGGCGCAGGATCCTGCAGGATCTTGCAGGATATTTCGCATTGACCCGGGCTTGGGTGCAGCAGGATCTTACAGGATGTTGCAAGGCCTGACTGACCCGGGTCTGGATTGAATCGGGCCAGAAGATCCCCGAGTGATTTGGCGGTGTCCCCCGGAAGTTTTCCGGGAAAATCGTTTCGCCAGCAGGGGCGATTGGGCACGTTCCGTCCCGCGGCAGTGGTCTGGCTTTCCGTGGCCGTGCGGGCTCGGATATGCAAGCCCGTGGCTTGCCTGCCCATCTTCAATTTATGCCATCCTCGCCCAACCCACGCGAGGAGGGGACCGCCGAATGTATTGGCCAGCATATTCGGTGGGCAGGTTGGCACCAGGGCAATGTGGCAACCCAACTTGCTGGGCCCAAACCCCGGGGGGGCATCCATCATACCAACGTGCGCTGTACATCGGCCTCAAAGCAGCATTTGTTACAATAGGGAGCGAGGAAAATGCATGCTGCAATCGATCACTCCTTCTGCTAAGGAGCAGTGATATCGCAGTTTTCGTGGGGGGTAAGGACCCAAGGAAGTCATGAGAAAAAGCCAGGGCGAGAGCGTGATTTCAAAGTATCGAGGGCGCGGCGTCTGAATTATTTGCGAGGAGTTCCCACGCGAGAGCACGATTCTTGCATACAAGGTGAGGAAGTCCCGCGCGAGAGCGCGATGTTGGAATACGTTGTGAAAAGTATCAGGTGGGAGCCGCTGTTGTTGTAAACCGGGGGCATGGGCCCAGTCTTAGCCTTCAGATTTTCCGTTGTACGAAACAGGGTGCGAGCCCCGGGAGCAGCACTTCAATTGAAAACGCATTTGGGCATTGGGGAAGGGGATCGACAATTACATATTATCCGTAAGGGCTTCGCCCCCTGCCGCCGGCCCCCTCTCTTGGAGAATGGGCCATGGAAGAGCTAAGTCATGAGGCCTTGGCGCTGTCGTGAAGCAGTATCGAAACTTCATGCGAAGCCGATTCGCAATCAGCAAAACCAACTGATCACAAGAGGGGTTACCACACCTGGCGATTGGTAAGACGTGTATGGTTTACGGGCTTGGTTACCACACCTTGCGATTAAAGGGCCGAGGGAGTTCTCGCAGTTTGGGTTACCACGCCTTGCGATGGATGTGCGTGAAGGGTGGCACCGAATTTCAGAAATGTGGCAAATCCCCTGTGTTTTTGGACCCTGACCCCGCGGATCTGCGTGAGGGGTGGCGCCGAATTTCAGAAATGTGGCACATCCCTTGTGTTTTTGGATCCTGACCCCGCGGATCTGCGTGAGGGGTGGCACCGAATTTCAGAAATGTGGCAAATCCCATGTGTTTTTGGACCCTGACCCCGCGGATCTGCGTGAGGGGTGGCACCGAATTTCAGAAATGTGGCAAATCCCATGTGTTTTTGGACCCTGACCCCGCGGATCTGCGTGAGGGGTGGCACCGAATTTCAGAAATGTGGCAAATCCCATGTGTTTTTGGACCCTGACCCCGCGGATCTGCGTGAGGGGTGGCACCGAATTTCAGAAATGTGGCAAATCCCATGTGTTTTTGGACCCTGACCCCGCGGATCTGCGTGAGGGGTGGCACCGAATTTCAGAAATGTGGCAAATCCCATGTGTTTTTGGACCCTGACCCCGCGGATCTGCGTGAGGGGTGGCACCGAATTTCAGAAATGTGGCAAATCCCCTGTGTTTTTGGACCCTGACCCCGCGGATCTGCGTGAGGGGTGGCACCGAATTTCAGAAATGTGGCAAATCCCATGTGTTTTTGGACCCTGACCCCGCGGATCTGCGTGAGGGGTGTCGATTTCGAGCCCCCCCAGCAATTCAGACAACGCGCCCAGGGGACGCTAAAAATCCCGTTTGGGCCTCCCCCCCCCTCGCGCGGTCAATCAACTAGTTAAAGTAACCAGCAAGAAGCAGAACTGTAACACTGGAAACTACAAACTACAACTGGTACAGGAAACTGCGAATCACGGGCCTACAGCCTGGTGGCCCCACAAGGGGGCCGGCGGATTCTCTAGAACAAGAATGCAACGATCACCTAAGACTGTAAGTTAAGAGTGTTCGTTCCTATCTGCTCGCGTGCCATTCACCACGTACATCCAAAACCCTCGGTACCCGCCCTCTCCAGGTTCGATCGTATCACCATTGCGGGTGTATATTTGTTATCTGTTACGAGGGTTTAACGCACTCGTAAAACAGGGAAAAGAGGACGGATGGAAGAGGAAGGAAGGGAGAAGGATGAGCACGACAAAGATTTGCAGGAGGGGTGCTAGGACCAGAACAGACGTGGCAGAACCAGACGGGCAGATCCTAACGGGCCGGTCGGGGAGGCGGACCCAGGCGGCCAGTTGTGGAGCAGGCACGTTGCTCAAGCGTGAGCAGTGCATGAATCGCGAGGACGTTTCGAGCGATAGCGCGATTCCAGAGGAAATCGTGAGAAATGCCAGATCGAGAGCGTGATTCCTGAGTGCCGAAGGCGCGGCAAGTCAAGCAAATTGGAATGAAAACCCACGCGGGAGCGCGATTCCTGCATACGTATGAGGAAGTCCCACGCGGAGCGCGAGTTTGGCATACGTTCTGATAAAGTATCAGGTGGGAGCCGCTGTTGTTGTAAACCGTGGGCCAGGGGCACAATCTGAGCTTTAAGATTTTCCTTTGTGGAAGAAACAGGGTGCGAGCTCCGGGGGAGAGCACTTTGAAGTGCATTGGGAGGGAGGATCAGCAGTATTTCCCAACCGTCCTGTGGTGATGGGTTCTCGTTCTGAAGACGGTCCCCGCGTCTCTCCTCTCCTCTCCGCTCCTCTCCTCTCCTCTCCTCCCCTCCTCCTCCTACTCCTCCTCTTCCTCTTCCTCCTCCTCCTCCTCCTCCTTCTCTTCCTCCTCTTCCTCCTCCTCCTCCTCCTCCTGGTCCTCCTCCTTCCGTAGCCATTTTGGCTCAAGTCTATCCCCTCCGTGGGATCTCGGGCTTGGGCCGAAATGAGTTCCACAGCTATTTCGCCCAAGGCCCCCTGGCCGTGCGCCGCGCCGCCAGCGTTTGTGGCCGTCGGATCCGTATGTCCACGCGATGGCGCCTGCTGCCTCTGCTGCTGACGCTGTTCGTCATGCCGCACCGCAGGAGTGCTGACGCTCTGCATCGCCGCGCATGCCAAGCTCTGCAAGGCGGTCGCGGCCCAGCACGCGTTGGCAAGCGCCAGACTCTTCAACTACACGTTCTCCTTCCACACGTTGCTGCGCCTCCAGCCGCCTCGCGGGTGATTACTCCGCTGGGCACTTGCAGGGGCTTGCAGCTGATTCGCGGGCGTCCTCCTGACGTTGCCCATGGTCCTGAAGTTCGGCCTCACCGACGCGAAGAGGCAGATGACGCACCAGCCCATGATGACCCTGCTCGTGCTGCTGCCGCCGAGGGCCGCCATCCTCCGCGACACCATTCCGTTCTTCTGCATGTGCAACCCGTTTATGAATCCGAAGTCCGCCGCCCGGAGGGTGGCCTTCCTGACCTCCTGCAAGCTGTTCCCGCTCCTGACGCTCGCGCTGACACTACCGCCGGCGCTGATGGTGTTCTGCATTCCCGACCCGTTCAACGATCCGAAATCCGCCGACCTGCTAGTGGCCTGCATGACCTACTTCTCGACGCTCTCCCTGCTGGTGCTGGAGACGCTCCTGCTGACGTCGCTGGAGACGGCGCCCCTGATAGCGCTCTGCATGAAGCTGCCGCTGCTGAATCCCGTCCCCGTGCTGTCGGTGTGGCTCTTGCTGCCCTACGCCCCCTTGTACGCGAATGGCAGCGCGTAGCACGGCGTAAGACGCTCCTCCAGAACAGGCCCTTCGTCCGCTGCTTCGGCGCGTGGTACGACCTCGTGTTCGAGACTACCCTGTCCACGGAGAGCGACCAGTCCGTCGGGGCGCCGTCCACAGGCCCAGAGTGCAACACGGAATGCCCTATGACGGGCCCTCCGAGTCCAAGGTTGCTGGGACTGGAGAGCCTGACTATCCAGAGGAGACTCTGCATGATGTTGCTCGTGCCGCCCCACAGCCAGGAGTGGTTGTCGCTGCTCGTCCCGTCCGTCCCCCAGAAGAGCTGCATGATGTGGCTCGTGCCGTCCTGCCGCCTGGAGTGGCTGACGTGGCTCGTCTCGACCATCCCGAAGCAGCTCTGCTTCCTGCTCGTGCCGTTCCGCCGCCTGGAGTGGCTAGCGCTGCACACCACGACGACCACGAAGAAGCTCTGCATGTTGCTGCACGTGCCGTCCCGCCGCCTGGAGTGGCTGCTGCGGCTCGCCCCGACCATCCCCACGGAGTGGCGCATGATGATGCTCGTGCCGCTTTGCCGCCTCGTGTGGCTTTTGCTGCTCGCCAAGCCATTCCCGAAGAAGCTCTGCATGCTGATGCGCGTGCCGTCCCGCCGCTTGGAGTGGCCGACGCGGATCGTCGTGACCATCCCGACGACGCCCTGCATGACAGGCCAGCTCCTGGCATGCCGTTCCTTCGCCGCTCGGACCTTCTGCAACTACGTGGCTGCAGTACGAATCTTGCGTGCTGTGTCGATGTTCTGTTGCAACGTGCTGCTGAGCGCCAGCATGGTGATCGTGGATTCTCGCCGCTCGGAGTGGCGTCTGAGGCCCCCGCCCGCTTTTGTAGCAATGTGCCCCCTGCCCCGCTCGCCTCTTCCCGCTTGTCGCCCTTGTCTCTGCCTCCCATCCCCGCGTTTCCTGCATTTCAGAGCACGCACGAATACACATCCGCTCTCCGCGTGTCTGGCCCCGCGCTCCCCGCAGCGCGTGAGTTGCCTGTGCGCCTGAGCACCACCACAGCTCACGTATGGAAGTAGAGGGCGGCGGACTCGGGCGGGACATCTTTCCTCTTCTCGCGTCGTGCCCGCTTGCCCTCGCCTCTTCCTCCTTTTTCAGGGTACTTTAACTCCTGGTCCTCCTCCTCCTCCTTACCCTCCTCCTCTTCCTCTTCCCGTCCCCCCCGCACTTGAGCACACCCCTCACACGTTTCGCGGCCCCATGGGGAGCTCCACCGAAGGCCACAGTGGGGGTGCCCGCACGCGTCCATCACACTAAGTACAGCGCTTCGTGGCCCCGACGGCCCCAGTGGCACCGCCCGCATGCGTCCGCAACACAGAGTACAGCGCTTCGTGCCACATGAGGAGCTCCACCGAAGACCCGACTGGGGGTGCCCACGTGCGTCCGCCACACCCAGTACAGCGCTTCGTGGCCCCATAGGAGCTCCACCGACGGCCCCAGTGGCACCGCCTGCGTGCGCCCGCCACACCCAGAGAAGCGTTTCGTGGCCCCATTGGGAGCCCCACCGAAGGCCCCAGTGGGGGTGCCCGCTTGCGTGTCACCCGCAGTACAGCGCTTCGTGGCCCCATAGGGAGGTACACCGAAGGCCCCAGTGGGGGTGCCCGATTCCATCCGCCACACCAAGTACAGCACTTCGTGGCCCCACTTCGTGGCCCCACAGAGAGGTCCACCGACGGCCCCAGTGGGGGTGCCCGCATGCGTCCGCCACGCTCAGTACAGCGTTTTGTGGCCGCACAGGGAGGTCCACCGACGGCCCCAGTGGCACCGCCTGCGTGCGCCCGCCACACCCAGAGAAGCGCTTCGTGGCCCCATGGGGAGCTCCACCGAAGGCCCCAGTGGGGGTGCCCGCTTGCGTGTCACCCGCAGTACAGCGCTTCGTGGCCCCATAGGGAGGTACACCGAAGGCCCCAGTGGGGGTGCCTGATTCCATCCGCCACACCAAGTACAGCACTTCGTGGCCCCACTTCGTGGCCCCACAGAGAGGTCCACCGACGGCCCCAGTGGGGGTGCCCGCATGCGTCCGCCACGTTCAGTACAGCGTTTTGTGGCCGCACAGGGAGGTCCACCGAAGGTCCCAGTGGTGGTGCCCGCATGTGCCCGCCACACCCTGTGCAGCGCTTCGTGGCCCCATGGGGAGCTCCACCGAAGGCCCCAGTGGGGTTGCCCGCTTGCGTCCGCCACACCCAGTGCAGTGTTTCGTGGCCCCACAGGGAGCTCCACCGAAGGCCCCAGTGGGGGTGCCCGCATGCGTCCCCCACAACCCGTACAGCGCTCCGGCGCCCCATAGGGAGCTCAACCGAGGGCCCCAGTGGGACCACCTGCATGTGCCCGCCACACCCATTGCAGCACTTCGTGGCCCCATAGGGAGCTCCACCGAATGCCCCAGGTGGACCGCCCGCATCCGTCCGCCACACCAAGTATATAAGGACGCGCGGTAAGGACGCAAGAACTTTGGAAACCGAAGTGGGGATTTTTGGGGCGGCGGACGACGAAAACCCCTAGGACGCAAGAGCAAGGAAGAGCAAGGACGCAAGGGTACCCTGAGCAAAGTCGCGCGTCCTTATTAGGGTGTTTGACTGTACTTGCGAGATCGCCCAAGGTACGGCAACCCCAAGTCAAGGAAAGCGTTCCCCCTTAACGTTGCCCTTTACGTTAACCCTTATCTGCCAAGGAGGAGCCTTAACTCCGGATCCGCCATACGTTGGATAAGTTCGGAATTCGGGCGGAACTTTCTGCCTACGTTTAAATCTCCTTTGGCGTCGAATTTCGTCTTGCTTTGCCGTCGATGTTTCCGCCAGACCTCAGCGAAAACATCCGCGCCCCACCCCCCTGAGGCGGAGACCCCAGTCCTAATGCCTCGCATGTTTTGGGGCGCATTTCCTATATAATGTTTGTTCGGTCGGAAAATCCACCCAAAGTACGGCGGATCCGGAGTCGGGGTATTCCCTTGTGGCTTTCGGGTCCTAACCCGGATTTCCACGATCGGTACGATCTGGGCACCTCCAGACTGCTTTCGGCGAGGCACGAACGCTGGAGAGGCGAGGCTCAAATGCTGGAGAGCATCCCAAAGCCTCCAAAAACCTCCGAAAACCTCGGACAATGTCCGAATCTCTGGATCCGCACAGGGTCCGAGTATCCCAAATGAGGGGGAGCGAGGGGGAGCGATGATGGGGAAGAGGAAGAGGATGAAGATGACGATGGGGGCGAGGACAAGGACGAGGAGGACGAGGAGAGAGGAGCGAGGAGGAAGAGGAGGAGGAGGACGAGGAGGAGGAGGAGAAGGAGGAAGAAGATGAGGCGGCGGCAGCAGGAGGCGGCAGCAGGAGGAGCAGGAGGAGGAGCAGGAGGAGGAGGAGGAGGAGGAGGAGTAAGCAGGAAGCAGAGGAGGAGGAGGAGAAGGATGAGGAGGAGGAGGAGGAGGAGGAGGAGGAGGAGGAGGAAGATCATGCATGCTGGACCATGCTGGCCAAACTTCCGAGGTCGCGAAGTCGCGAAGCACGCGCAACGGTAGGGATGAAACGCTCCCCTACCACAGGCCGTCCCTGGGCGATAAGGTTCGGCTTTGCTCTGGACTTGTAGCTGATGGCGTGCAGTCCAGCTATTTATTCCCCATGCCGTTTCTCTCACGTGGTGGCGAGGGCCCAGCCGTGGCGACGAGGAGCGACTAGGGGGGGAAGGGCACCCTCAGTTGGTTGGCCCATTTTTCGCGTCACGTCTTTCGGCAGCAAAGCCCTTTGCGGCGGCTTGCTGAGTGCTCAGGCGCACGCCGCCGCCTGCTTTCCGTGGGAAGTATGGCCATTTCGCACGAGCTGACCCCAGCGTTGTAGCTGATGACGTTTGCGCGTGCACTTGCGTCTGCACGCAGTGCCAGCTTCGCTGCCTCTGCTTGTTCTTCTCGCGTTGCCAGCTCCCGCTGCCGCTGCCTGCCCTTCTCGCACAAGGTGACACCAGCAGCAATGTAACTGATGAGGTGTTCTTGCTGCGCCGGCGGGCACAGACAACCACAGCTGCCACTGCCTGCCTTTTCGCACCGACAGCCGCTGCTGCCACTGCCTGCTTTCTTGCACTGCCAGTCCTTGCTGCCACTGGTCTCTCGCAAAAGCTGAACCCAGCAGCTTTGTAGCTGATGAAATGTTTTTGCCTCGCCATCTGGCACCGGCAACTGTTGCTGTCACTGCCTGCCTTCTCGCATGAGCTGACCTTAGCTGCAAATAGCTGATGCATTGCTCCTGCTGGCCGCTGGCACCGACAGCCGCTGCTGCCACTGCCCGCTTTCTCGCATCGACAGGCCATGCTGCCACTGCTTGTCTTATCGCACGAGCAGGCCCCTCTGCAGTGTAGCTGAAGATTGGCTCCTGTGGGCTTTTCGGCACCGACAACCTCGCTGCCCCTGCCTACCTTCTCGCACCGACTGACCTTGACCCCCGCTGCAAGGTAGCTGAAGAAATTGCTCTTGCTGGCCGCTAAGCGCCGACAACCGCTGCTGCCACTGCCAGCCTTCTCGCACCGACAGACCATGCTGCCACTGCCTGCCTTCTCGCACGAGCTGACCCCGCTGCAATGTAGCTGAAGATGTTGCTCCTGCGTTGCTAATTTCTCGCATTCTCGCGTGGACAATCCCTGCTGCCGCTGCTTGCTTTCTCGCACTGGTCCTCGGCATGGCGTCTCCCACACGAACTGGCCCCGGCACTGTAGCTGATGACGTTGGCGCGCACGTTCTCGCCGCACGGACCGCTCCCAGCGCTGTAGCTGATGACGCTGCTGATCATGGCTGGCCCTTGCTCGCCTGCCTTCGCGTGCACCACTCCCAACATTGTAGCTGTTGCTGTGCTGCTCTGGCTTTGCGATGCTTGCCTGCATTTTGGTAGCGGCGCCGCAGCTGGCGCCACTGCTCGTTAAGAGGTGGAGGAGGGACGGGAGGAGGAGGAGGAGGAGGAGGAGGAGGAGGACGAGGACGAGGAGGAGGAGGGAAACGAGGAGAGGACGGAGAGTGTGCTAAGTCTCTTAGCTGGTGCGCGCACGCGCCAGATCTCAACATTGTAGCTGACGCCACGCTTCTTGATGTCGGCTCTCGCGGGGAAAGACATTTCGAAATTGGGCCGCGAAACACACTTGCGCGCCCCGTGCAGAGCCGGGGAGGAGAGCACTCGAGCGCGAAATGGCTAGGAGGATGAGGAGGAGGAGGAGAAGGAGGAGGAGGAGCAAGCAGGAGGAGGAGCAGGATCATGAGGAGAAGGAAACTGGACGAGGAGGAGAAGGAGGAGGAGGAAGATAGAAGAGGGGGTAGGAGGAGCGGATGAGGAGGGGGAGGAGGAGGGAGGATGAGGGAGGAGGAGGGAGGGAGGAGGAAGAGGAGGAGGAGGAGGAGGAGGAAGGAGAGGGAGGAGGAGAAAGAGGGGAGGAGGAACGAGGAGGAGGAAGGAGGAGGAGAGGAGGAGGAGGAAGGCGGAGGAAAGGAGGAGGCGGAGGGAGAGGAGGAGGAGGAGGAGGAGGAGGGGGAGGAGGAGGAGGAGGAGGAGGAGGATAAGGAGGAGGAGGAGGAGGAGAAGGAGGAGAAGGAGGAGGAGGAGGAGGAGGAGAAGGATGAGGAGGCGGATGAGGAGGAGGAGGGGAGGGGGAGGAGGAGGAGGAGCAGGAGGAGGAGGCGGAGAGGAGCGAGGAGGAGGAGGAAGCGGAGGAGGAGGGAGGAGGGAGGAGGAGGAGGAGAGGAGGAGGAGGAGAGGGAGGAGGAGGAGAGGAGAAGGAGCGAGGAGGAGGAGGAGGAGGAGGAGGAAGAGGAGGAGGAGGAAACATGAGAGGGGGAAGAGTGGCGGCCGTTGGCCTCCCGAACACGAGGAGCCTCCGCCGCAGGGCGGGGCCTGCGCGTGCGGCGGAATGATGACCGACGACCCACGACCGACGACGACGGACGACGGACGACGGACGACCGACAACGACGACGGCCACCACCGCCACCACCGCCACCACCACTGACGACCGACAGCCGACGG